AAACATTGTAGAGTAGGGGGAAGGACCAAGTCTGTGCAAAGCTTAAAAAGCTCAAACTCCAACATTTTCAGCAATTTGCCAAAGGAAAAAAAAATCAAGGAAAACAACAAAGTAAACTGATCTTATGTAGGAAACTGCTGAACTATGTATAGTACTACCTGGAAATGTAAATCTATTCACTTTTCACATTATAATATTGGCCTGCATGATTCAAGTATTCAAACTGGTATGTTTTGGGCTAAAACAAAGAGGAAAAATGTGCACGACGTAACCATTTCCACAGTTGAAATTTCCCCTAGAGGCTGCAGATGGGGGGGGGGGGAATCCAAATTTAGTGCTGCTTTGAGGTCACAGTTTTTCCCACTGAAAGAAGGACAGAAGGTTACATGGACTCCCCCCCGGCCCCGAGATGGTCAACGGAGAGAAACGCATTAAGCGGGGATGGGCTGCCAAGGCCCCTGGCGTCGCTGCTGCCCAGGGAACCCCAGAGGCTGGTGGTGTAGTTTGGACTGCCCCAAAGGGACGTGCCGTGGAGGTCTCCACTGCTTGTTCCTGAAAGCCCAGGACCGCTCCAGTGAGGATTCAGGTCACTGCGGTTGGAGAATGCGTGGGGGCTGTCCACAGTCCCCAGGCGGTTCTGGCTGGTGCCCAGAGATTGCCAGGCAGGGGAAGGGGTTAGAGACGGGCCTTGTGCAAAGAAGCGGCTAATCTCCTCTTCGCTGGCAAACTCAGCCAGAATTGTAGTGTTCCCGAGGACACACCTGTTCACAGAGCCAGCAAGAGTTATGTGAGAAGGACAGGAGCCTTGCAAAACACACAGCTTCAATTTCCACCCGTCACGCATCTCCATCCAAGACTACCAGTTCCCCCCTGTGACTACATCGTTCTGACCCTTCTCTAAGCCCCTCGCATACTTAAAACAACAATTTTCCCACTTAGCTTATACTACAAGTAACCACCCTGCTGTAGTAAAAAAAGAGGCACCCATCCAGCCACTTTAGCGGCAGACCACCTTCCAAACCAGGTATGTTAAGAGCAAGTTAATTCAAAAGAAAACGTGGTCCTGCCAGGTCATTCAGAGTGGAAGGTCTGAGCTCTAAGGATGACTCTGCACAATAACCATGTGCCTCTCCTGGAGACCAAAAGCAGGCAAAACCTGCCCAGGAAAGGTGCCCATGGCCTCCCCACTATTTCTGCCTGAGCCTTGCATCCCATCTGGAGGTCTACTCACATGTGGAGGGATTTTTGTGCCTTCATCACCTCTTCTTTTGAGCTGTACCGGACTAAAGCGTTGCCATGGGGGAGGTTCAGGTGGAATGTGATCAGGGGCCCATGCTGCATGCAGAGTGTCCGCAGGGTGGAGCCATCAATCTGGACATGCAGACAAGGGTTAGAGTTAGACTTAGCTGCTGCCAGTCCTGGCCAGAAGGAGAGGGAGACTCAGATCCTCCGGGGAAAATGCCCCAAAGAAGCATGATTCACCTGAGGTGTGAGGTTCTTCAGGACAAGACAGTTAGTGATTCTCCCTGAGCTGCTATTCTCATTCCAACTGGAACCTGAAAGAGAAAATGCAACTCCAGCTCCTGGACACTGGACAAAGCAGGGGATATGGGAAGACCAGGGGACCCTTAGCTCCTCTGCCCCGAAGCTGAAGGCCATTCTTCCCACTTCCATGAGACTTGCAGCTCTAGGAGCACAGCAATAAGCCTAAACGGCATTTCTCAGTTTAATTCTGCTTGTATGGCTTATCAGCTGAACGTTTCAGAAGCTTCAGCTCCCTGAGAGTTCTCACATTTCAGAGATCACCCCAATGTCCATGATCTTGGCCAGTGGACAATCTGCAACTGGCATATGCACTAAGCGTATTTATCAAGAGAGCAGAGGCCCTTTCCCCAAACGAGGGAAGCATCTAACTTACGGGTCTTGCCAAAGACACGGGTGGCGGCAGGTGGAAAACCATCTGACACAGCAGCCTCTGGCTTTATGAGCAAGGAGAGGCCTGGCCAGGACTGTGCAGCTGCTCTATTTCTGCCAAAACCGTTCCATCAGCCCGCCCAGGAACGGCCCAGGCCTCAAGGACAGGGCTCCGCTGAAAAAAGCGGAGCCTCCTTTGAGCCCAGGCACATGCTGCCATCAGCCAACCAGGGCGAAGATGGGAGTAGGGGATGGAATCCAGACGCTTACCAGGGGTATATCTAGCATCCGAATTGCTCCAGCCGCCCCCAAGTCGCATAGAGTTATCCCATGTGGGCAGAGACAGCTTCTGCCCAGTCAATCCAGGTGGCGGGCGTGACGGAGCAGTGATGCTCTTGGGTGGCAAAGGAACCTTCCATAGCTCATGGGCCAGAGAGGTGTTGCTAACGGAAGCAGGAGACCAAGTTGATTTGGAGTCACTGTTTCTGGCTGGAAGGAGAAAACAATCATGAAATCCATGCAGTCCACTGCTTCTGAGGCTGCAGGCTTGGGGGGAACACAGGACGAGGGATACAGGGGGCAGGAAGAGGGGGGGCTACACGGCATGACCACCCAGCTGGCCTCACCTGAAGAAGTGCTTTGTGCTGTACTGTTGAGGGAAACATTGTAGTTGGAGGCACGAATGGATGACCAGGCACTAGTTGAAGGCAGCGTGGTGTTCAGAGCTGAGGATGACCCTGGTGGAGGAAAGTCATGGGAACACATCACTCGGGAAGCTGGCGGAGAGGTCTTAGAAGTATGGCAGCCATTTAAGGGCAAGATGGACAATGGTGATGCGCAGAGCATTCTTGGTTTTACTTCAGTGCTACAGCTTTAAAACATGGCTGGTTCTGTCAAGAACAGGCCATCAAATGCAGAGGGGAAGTTAGTTACCAAGTCCCAATTGGTAACCAACCATCTACTCAGGACCCCTTCTCCAATGTTGCCCAGCCTGCAGGAAATCATGTCCCCTTGGGCTGGGAGCTGCTCACAAGAGGAACGCCTGAGCTGTGAATTCTGGCCTGTTGTGCTACTGAAGCAAGTCCAGCAGAGAATGGGGGAGCCTCACAACCCACAACTTGCCTCCTCTTTTCACAGAGAATGTCTGTTAGAAATTGGTGAATGGCCAAAGTACAAGTCCCGTCTCTCCTGCTGTTCTTTCCTTGCCCCAGGCTCTTCCCTGCATTATCGTGTCCTGGCACAAAGCCATATCCTGGGTCTCCCCAGCTGTAGAACCTTCTTCCTGGGAGACTTGAAAAACAAGCTAGCCAGGAAAGCCGGCAGGAGAAAAGGCTCTGCTTACTTAGTATCTGGGCCGGACAAGAGCCATTTTCCAGAGATCTGAAAATGCCACCCCTCCCCACCCTGCAGACATACCGCTGTTCCTGTCCCTGAGGTGGTCAGCCTCCCGCACAGTGTTAATTGACAGGCTGTTTGTGACGCTGCCAGGAGTAACATAAGGGTCAGTTTCTGGGTCAATGTTTGGATAACCTTTCCACGGCTCACCAGGGCGAAATTCTAGGAAAAGAAAAAAGAAAAGAAAAAAGAAAAACCCTTAAACCTGGGAAAATTGCTCTCCCTCCCTTGGCCCTCAAATGGTTGCTGACCTCCACTGGGTCTGTGCACAATGGAGAGAACCCCAGTGACAGTATGGGTCCCTCACAGGAAGAGCCTCCTTCACAAAAGACAAAGGGAAAACTTTCCCTATTGATTCTTGAACAGACATCTTGGATGAAAAGGCTTTCTAAAAGGTCATGCACTCAAAATGACAAAGATGAGAATGATATGGCGTCTCATTTCAAACCGCAGGCTAAGATGACACAGACACTGATACAGGTACTCCTCGCTTAACAACTGCAATTGGGACCAGAATTTCTGTCGCAAAGCAATGCAGTTGTAAAGCGAGATGGAGGGAGTCCCAGGAGTGTGGGGGTGCCACAGGGGGTGGGTGAGGCCTGGCACAGGTTGTGCATGAGTTGGGGGAGGTGCTGCAGTGCGGTGCAAAGCCAAATCCGCCCCTGGAAG